CCAACCAACCAACCAAAGATCAGTCTCTAATCCCCTGTTATATTTGATGCCATAAAGAGATGAGAGTAAAAACCCAAGAAAATATGTAATATAACATTAGTATCCACTTCTTGTGGAAAAGGTTCGAAACTTCTGTAGCTTATTCAAATATATATACACATATATATATGTGAAGATCAGCATACAAATACATTGCAACACAGCTCGATGGATGAAAATGTCAAAGCAACAAAGAGCCACATGGTAACAGAAACAATATCAGTGAGTCCTGTAGGTAAGAAAGATATCAAAGTAGCTGTGTGGTCCTGATTAAAATACCCAGGTGAACAATAGCTACAAATAGTGCAAAAAAATGTTTCCTAACAAGACAAGTCATAATGCAAGTTTTAGAAATTCTGGTAATGGCAGAAATATCTGCATTGGAAAAAATGTAGTAGCAATTTGAACAACATGACTTTCAGCAGGAAAATCTAAATTATGAATTATGGTATAAAAGCAGAGCTTATGTAAGATCCCCTGGCACTTGTGTAATAAATCACATGAAAGGTGGGAGAAAAGAAAATTATGGGTAAGTAATGCATGCTTTACATTGCTTAGAGATACATAAAAACTTTAGTTGTTTTTTTTGACAGTATAAAACTCAGTAATGAAATGCTTTCTGTATTTGAGAGGTATGTACCTGTTTGAAATTCATTTTAATTGTAAAAATGTAACATTTAAATGGAGAAAAATATATAGAACTTTCACAGGCTATTCTCTGTTACTGTTCTTAGAAGGGCAGACTTCCCAGTGACTCCTATAATCTCCTATGTTTAGCCCAGATTCCAATAAATTTGAAAATTGGCTTAAACTCCTATATTTTTGCCTTTTTTTCCTCTATATTTCTATACTTGGAAAATTTTTCATATAAAAGTGCAAGATTTGTGCTGCAAAGAACACTTAAATGAATGGAGTGAGTGTAAGAATCTCAGATATAACAGAAGATAACATATCAATGGTTGAAGATCATATTCACTGTATAGCAAATATTGCATAGCAGTTATGAAAGAGGTGTACATACAATGCCAGATAGCATGCAGAGCAGAATGCATGTATGTATGTATGTATGTAACACCAATCTGAGCATATATATGTATGCATCATTGCATAACTTTGTTGTTTATACCTATAAATATCATAATAGTCTATGTACATCATGAAATGCTAAGTCATTAAAATATATAGAACTGTTAATTTTGGAAACAAAATCTTATTTTAGTGTACTTTTGCATTTAGCAAAAGTAGAGTCTTAGATCGGCCGGCTTGGTTTCAACTGATTATGATCCATTTACAAAACTTTCTGACATGAGTATGCTATGTTTATTGATTTAGTTGTTTTTTTGTTTTTACTTTTGTGAGACAGATATGTAAATGAAGCATTATATGAAGATTTATACTGATTCA